AAGTGGGAGATTGTTGGAAAGTGTGTCCAAGGTCCTTAACTAGTGGTAATATATATAATAATAATAGGGTCCTTTTGGGTTCCCCTCAAGACCCAAATTGAGTAGAATAAATAAAAGAGAAATTGGTTTATTAATTATTATTGTTAATAATTAATTAGAAACTAATTGGAAATATATTTTGGGAATTAATTTATAGTTTAATTAATTAAAGGTTTGAATATTCATTAATCGAAAATTGGTTACTCAGCAATGTTCCAGAACCCTTATGGATTTAGATTTGGATGAAAATCACTCCATCCCACATGGGAAAATGAGTGAATTTTGTTGTAGGCTACTCATCCCAGATCGGAATGAGTAGAAAACCTAGGAAGGCATCCAAGACTATAAATAGGGACTTAGGGATTTCATTCTTCCTTTCACCTTGGCTTGAAGGGTTGCCAACCCTTCGTCCTCCCACTCTTAGGACGATTTATAATCCTCTTAGGGTTTGTGAAATTAACCATTCTCTTGGTCATTTTTATTCCACTCTATGGTGCCATTGGGTATGATACCATTAGAGGGTGTAACAGCCCGAAATTCAGGTACATCCATTTAACCCTTCATCTTTTCCATAATGTCATTTTGGCCCTTTATATTGGGCGAGTACGTTGGGCATACAAAGAGTACACTGCGCGTACTCGTGCGCTTAATTGGAACGCGATGTCACCCGGGTACGCTGGGCGTACCTAAGGTTACGCCAGGCGTAACCGGTCCAGACCCAAAACCCTAATTTGACTTGAGGGCTATAAAAGGAATGAGATGGCCTTGTCCCTCAGCCACCATCTTTCAGAAAGAAACCCTAAGAGAGCATTTCCTTCGTTTTAAGCTTGGGTGTGAGTGTTCTAAGCTTCAAAGTTTCATTTCAAGTTAGTAAAAGAGAGGAGGATTCCATTGGGAAGGCTAGATGTTGGTGGACAAGTGTAGATCCGAGAACTACAAAGGTTGGAGCTTCTTCCTGAGGTAAAAAGTTCAGATCTTGCCTTGTAGTTTATATGGTGTGCTTCTTGGACCAATTTCTAGGGTTTTTGGTCCCAAGATGGAGACTTTATGAGCAAGTAGTCTCCATTGGCCTAGATCTATCATATTCCAGGACTATATGAGTTGTATGTTCATAAAAATGTAATCTTGGACGTAAATATTGAGCCATGCATGAGATCTAGACCTTTAGAGGAAAAGGGAAGGTGTTAGAGGGTGTAGGGACCTTTACAGCCATGCCAAGGCTTAAGGGTTCTGACTTTATGGGATAAGAGGCTTAAGGAGAGCCAGATCTGGAAGTTGAAGGAGTGTCTTAACCGTTTAAGACCAAAATCCGTGGAATGGCTGAAACTGAGACTTACGTTCGGCGTAACTCTCAGTACGCACAACGTAAGGGGTCGAGACCCCGATTGTAGTTCGTCGATGTACGCCCCGCGTATAGAAGCTGGAATGCCCCGCGTACCGCTTGCTGTTGACTTTAGGGTTTTGGTCAACATGTGGACTTTTGAGTCAAGGAGGGGTGAAATGGTCTTTTACCCCTCTGTGGGATAGTGAAAAAGGGTGTAGCTTAGTCTTGGAAGCCTATATTAATTAGAATGATTATTCGTTGTGAATAGGCGGGGTTGGGTCGTCGTTTCGAGATTCAGAGATATCGAGCACGTGAGATTCTAGACTTCCTACGAGGTGAGTCTTCTCACTATACTGGACCCGAAAGGGTATCTATGTGTGACCGGAAGGTCGGATATGTTATAAGATGTATGCATTGTGTGTGATTAAGTTAACCGTTTTATATGTGCTATGTATGCTATGCTTGTTATGGGCCGGAAGGCATTACGTTATGGGCCGGAAGGCATTATGATGTGGACCGGAAGGTCATGGAGTCATGGATCGGAAGGTCGACACGGATAGGACCGAAGGTTTACCGGGTTGGGATGGAAGTCCCCTAAGACACATGGACCGGAAGGTCATGACCTGGAAAGGGGTATGTGTGTAAGTAGTATTTTGGGGAACTCACTAAGCGTTTATGCTTATAGTTGTTGTGTTATGTGTTTCAGGTACTAGCAAGGACCGTGGGAAGGCGTCGGCATGATCTGTACACACTGACGGAAGATTTATTTTATGATCTTGGAATTTGACATGTTTTGTATTATGATTATGATACATTGGATTTTTATGGCTTGATTTGGATGAAAATATGTTTTAAGAAATGAAAATTGTGTTTTGAAAATTCACGTTGTTATAGAGGGATTTTGGTTTGGGTCCTCTCATCCATGTAAATACATGGAGGATCAATATCTCAAGCATGGAGACTAAGGGATACATAAAAGGTATGATTTCTTATTTATTTTTTATGTTCTCTATGGTAGATGTAATTAACATGAAACCATAGATCCATATGTTACATGTACACTTAGGTATATCGTAGTTTTGATTTTTCCGCCGCCAAGTTTAGAGTGTATTTGATGCATAGAAAACCCAACAGAAAAGGCTTAGAGTGGACATGGGAGCCTAAGGAGGAGAAGTGGGAGTATTATCCAGAGTTATTGCAGGGGAAAATTTCTAGGGCGAAGTCTGATTTAAGTAGCGGAGAGTTGTAACACCCGTTTCCAGGTATTTTCATTTCCAACTCAATTATTAATTTTCTTGCAAAACTAATTTGTAAGTATGGTGTACTAGATGCATACGTTGGGCGTATGTCATTTAAGGTGGAATGTGGACTTCGTCGAGTACGTTGGGGTACGTAAGGTTTACGCATGGCGTACCCATGCAAATCCCAAACCTAAAATTTTATAGTTGAGCCCTTAATTAAGGACCTTAAGTCCCTAAAGGAATGAGGCATCTCCATGCTCAACCTCCATCCTCCTCAACTAGTGTTTCGAAATCCTAATCCTTGATTAGCTTGTATGAGCCTCTTTTTGTGTTCTTGGTGCATAGTGAAAGAGTATAAGTTTTCTTTGAGGATTATTGTGGCTAGAGCTTGAAGATCCAGTGCCTTCACCACCTTTGCAAGATTTTGGAGGTACAAAGCTCTCACATTTATGGTTCTATGGCTTAAATCTAGACTAGCTTAGAGATTTGCATGCTTTTGGTCCATTGGTTTTGGTTCTTATGAGTAAAAGCTACTCCAGAGCTCAAGTTTATCACTTTGTGTTCTTTATGAGGATCTCGTGTCATAAAAATAAAGTCTTTGTTGCTGTTTCACACTCATACAAGAATTTTAGGTTATTAATGCGTGTTATGAACATAGGGTTTGGTTTTGGGCTCTATTAAGCCATGCAAAAGCTTAGAGTTGTCGGCTTTATCAGTTAAGACGTTCCCAAGATTAAGGTCTGTAAGTTGGTCGTTTAGTCTTTAGGTATTAAGAGCTTAAAAGTGGTTTCCGAAAACAGAGGATTATTTAGGGTATAACCTCTGAGTACATAGGGCGTAATGGGTTTTGCCCATAACCTTTTCTGTGGAGGGCGTAAGGAAGGAATATGCATTGTGTGCTCCAAGAAATTCCCTTAAACCATTTTGAGGCCTTGGGCCATGTTTGGTTGGGCTTAGCATTGGAAGGGTAAAATGGTCTTTTACCCTTAGTAAGAAAGTATATGGCTTGGATCTTGTTATGAGTTATTACACTAATTACTAATTATGGTTGGTTTTGGATATATTCACTGTGAGGAACCTTGTATAACAGTAGTGTATGTGTAATGTAGATATCTTCAGTTTGAGGTGAGTCTCCTCATAATTATTGCGGGCTGAAGGCACCAAATTTTGACCCACTGATTTATGTTTATAGGACGCTAGTTGCCTGAGTGACTCTTGCATCTGTTTGTATGTATACCAGATAGGGCCCATCACATGTGACTGACATATGTAGATCTGGAGGAGCCCAATGTATGTATAGTATGTGATATTTCGGGGAACTCACTAAGCTTTGTGCTTACAGTTTACAATTGTGGTTTCAAGTACATCTTGTTTAAAGGGAAGGGTCCGACATGATCGCACCACATCCACCAATGTTTCGTATTCTATGATTTTGATTTGTACTCTGATAACTATTTTCTCTATTGTCACACTTCGAATGGCTTATCAAACGAATGTTTGATGGTTTTTGTTGACTTAAAAATAAAAAACTTTACTTAGTATTTTCGGGACATTACTTCCTCTATGTGTTTATGGGAAAAGTAAAAAAAAAAAAAAAAAAACGAGTACTTTGGTATATGGATTCCAATTATTTAAAGGATTTGGACAAGAGAAAACTTATTACAAGGTTAGTTTTCAATTTAGGTGATTGTGCTATTAGCTATAAAGTGCAATTACAATCTATAGTTGTGTTATCCACTACTGAAGCTAAATACATTACTATAGTAGAAACACTTAAATACGTTATTTGATTGAAAAAAGTTGATTGGAAATTTAATAACACGTTAAAGGTCAATATAGTGTTTTGTGACCATCAAAGTGAAATTCTTTGACAAAGGATCAAATGTTTCATGACTAATAGAAACATACATAACAAAGTAAAAAGGAAAGTGTGTTGTAAGCAAGATCGGGACAAATGAAAATGCAGTTGATATGTTTACTAAAAGGCTTTTCAATAGCCAAGTTTAGTTGAAGTTTGAACTTGGTGTGTATTCAAAAACTCAAGTAAGCCAAGATGATCTTGATATGAGACACATTTGTTATTTGAATTATGGTCATTTCTATTACAATATTTTCTTTTAAAATTTCAAAATAGATCCAGGAATCATTTAGTACTAATCGGTGCTTTTCGACTTTAGGAGTCAAAGTAGAGATTGTTGAAATGTGTTTCTCCAAACTTCCAACTGATAGTTGGAAATTATTTTATTTTCTTAATGGAAGATTTATCTCCTTTACTTAATGATGAAGAGTTTAAGATAAACTTTATTGTGTAAGTTTTATCCTTGATGCGTATCTCAATGTCAAGCCTCTATATAAATAGAGGATTAGCTTTATTCAACACTTACTTTGAATAAAACCTATCTAGGAACTATCTCAGATAATGAGATATCATTTACCGAAATTTGGGGTGATCTTGATTTTGATATTTTAATTTTTTCTAAACTGTTGCTCGCAGTTGAAGCACTGTACTTTTGAAGGAGTGGAAATTGAGGATCAATGGTACTACGCATGAAAAATGCAGGCTTTGATGGTACTGGAAGTGTGAGAGAGAAACCATTAAGCATAAGAACAACAGCACCCATGGTTGGCCTGTCATAAGCAGTTTCTTGAACGCATAATAACCCAATGTGGATACTTCTAGAGATATCACGCAAAGCAGATCCGGTCATTAATGTAGGATCTATAATGTTTTTCGCAGTCCCATTTCGCCAACATTTCCATGCCTGGAAGAGATTAACAGTTTAGTTTTTTTATTTTTTAACATAATGACATTACATTAACAAAACTGATTTATTTAGTAAAGGTTTTGACTCGTTTAATATGATTTTCTTAGTTCTTTTAGAGTTTATCCTAGTTTCGGCCTTTTTCTAGAAAAAGATGAAAAAAAATCCAATGAATTTAAAAATTATTTTTTGGTAAATCAATTACTAATTTTTTTTTCTAGAATGCTAAATTTTGTTTGACATCTTCAATGCCAAAATTGAATCAATGGGTACTTACATAGCTACGAAGGTCTTCGGTGCCCTCTCCATTTTGAAAACATTGGTTTTTTTGACCTGTTACTAGTTCCAACACTAAAACTCCAAAACTAAATACATCCGATTTTACTGAAAATTCGCCGTGCGTTGCATATTCTGGTGCCATATAACCACTGAGTGACCCGATAAAAAGACAAAAGGTAAGTAGTTACGTTATATAATGGAATAAGACAAGTATAGTGAAATATGTCCATCATATTATTTTCCAACTGAAGTATACTTACTAGGTTCCTACAATCCGATTTGTGTCACCTTGAGATTCCTCAGGGTCGAACACTGTGGCCATTCCAAAATCTGCAATTCTAGGATTCATTTCAGCATCTAATAAGATATTACTGGCTTTCAAATCACGATGAATTATCCTTAGACACGAGTCCTCGTGAAGGTATAATAGTCCATTGGCCACCCCTTTGATAATCTTGTATCGCTTATCCCAATCAAGAATTGTATGCTTAGTTGGATCTACAAACACAGGCAAGAAGTAGATATTAGTAAGAGTTTTCACTATATATATATATATATATATATATATATATATATATATATATATATATATATATATATATATATATATATATATATATATATATATATATATATATATATATATATATATATATCATTTTCTACACCAAATATGTAAATGGTCAAACGCCCTCAACTTCTTTTAATCAGACGTATTAAAATCATCTTTTATGACTAACTACTACAAAATTCATTTGATATAAGGACATTAAAAGATAAATGAGAGGCCATTGGTGAAAGTTTTCTTATGAACTTGACAAATCAATTTAAACCAATTAAGGCTAACTTCTCATGAGTACAGTATGAACTTACCAAATAGAAACTGATCAAGACTTGTATTTGGCAAGAACTCGTAGATGAGAAGACGTTCATTGCCTTCTAAGCTGAAACCAAGCAGCCCGACTAAATTACGATGTTGAAGTTTGGCGACAAGCAAAACCTCATTCTTGAATTGTATGTCACTTTGCCTAGAATCCCTTGCTAGCCTCTTTACTGCAATTTCTAGTCCATCTCCAAGCTTACCCTAAGCATCATATAATAACATATGTCGACATTGAAGTAATATAAACATTATCAATGTTTGGCATATAACTACAAAGACCAATTTTTATTACCTTGTAAATTGCTCCAAAACCGTTTTTTCCGAGCATATTGTCTTCCGAAAAGGCATTTGTTGCTGCTTTTATTGTACTAAAGTTATATTGCAAAGATTCAACGGTGCCAGTATCCATAGTTTCAGCTGGTATAGAGCAATTAGAAGGAGAGAGTTAGAAGTTTTTCTAACTATAATTGTTGTCGCTAATACAATAACTACATTTCAACTTTCAAGCACTATGTATTGAGTGTTTATTTATTTATTTATTTTTTAATTTTTTTTATAAATAGGTCTGTTTCAGAAAAACCTTTCAAAAATAGGGCAATTTGAAATTTACGTATATATAAATAAGATAAATAAGTTAGATTCTGTTGGCCCCAATACAAACTAACGGATTCATCTAAAAATTTATATTTTTAACTCTTTTAAATTGCATACGTAGTCATTCGACTCAGAATATATTCTGTCTATGCTTTTTACTTTTAAATATTTTGTTTTCTACTTTTAAGTTTTAACATATCAACTATATAATTTGAAAATATAAAATTAAAAATTATATATATTTTTAAGAAATAATACCATTACAATAATCTCATCAATACCTTGATAACATAGTAAGATATCTATCTTGTCAATTATTACATGTGCATTAATCAAACCTTTATGAATACATTCTCCAAGTCAATATTACCATTCAAATATGAATGGTAATATTCTATTACAATATTTAAATATTTATAAATAAACGGTAACTTTTTTTTTTTAATTTTTATTAGGTAAATTAAATGACAAAAATAATAATTAAAAAAAAAAAAATTTTGGATTTTTCATTTTATATTGCATTTTAAAATTATATATATATATATATATATATATATATATATATATATATATATATATATATATATATATATATATATATATATATATATATATATATATATATATATATATATATATGGGTGTAAGTTCTATTAAAACAAAAAACCCTAAATAAACACTTAAAATCATAAAAATACATAAAAAATACTTAGAGATTATAAATGTTTTTTTGACTTTATATTCTTTAAAATCACAATTTTTTATACAATTTCGCTGATTTTTTTTTTGAAAAAAAAAAACCAAAGAAGTTTTAAAAAATAAAAAATAAATAGAAAATAGAAAGTTAATTTTTTTTAAATTATTTTTTCAGCGAATTTATAAGAAAAACTATGATTTTTAAGAATATAAAGTAAAAAAAAAAAAAAAGATTTATGATCTCTATGTATTTTTATGATTTTTAGGGTTTTTTTAAGGTTTTTTTTTGTTTTCCATATATATATATATATATATATATATATATGTATATATATATATATATGAAAATGTCACAGCTAAATAATTCATAAAATATAATAGATAAATTAATTATGTACATAAAATATTTAAATTCTAACATATGCTTACATTTTAGGCAAGAATTAATACATACATTATAATTATGTGACGAAGGAACGTTGGTTACTTAAGATGCACATGTGAATGAAATGTGAATGAAGGATGAAATAAATGACAATGCAGATTTGAGGAAAAAATGATGGAGTATTGTTAATGAAATATACAATAAAAGTATAAAACTAGGTACATTTACTAAGCCAAATTTATTGTGTAAAAAATTATCGTAAAATAATTGGATATAACAATTTAAATTCGTATTTCTAGTTATGAAGATGAATAGTGATAACTTTTTTTATTTCATATATTCCTTTATTTATCTTCTGATAATTCAAAATTTTCTTTTATAAATGGTATTCAAAATTAGTACTGATTAATTATAATTGTATAAATTATTAAAATTAATACATAAATTCTAACTACATTTTTTTCAATAAATAAAATTATGTATTTTATATGCTGGTCTAAATATGTAAGTTCTAAGGGTTAGAATTGGAAATTTATTTTAGAAACGGGTGATTTTTGATCATCCTATTTTAATTAATGAAAACTGAAAGTATGCTAACCTATTTACTGAAAAAAATAAAAAAATAAATAAATAAAACACCCTAACGTAAGCCACAGATCTTTATGTTCATGTTCTAAATGGCTTTAAGCTGCAAACTCTGAACTCACTTTGTATACTTTCAGGTGGAGATATTTGCTTCTTCTTTTTCCTCAATGTGATGAACATATATGTTGAAGCAATTATTAAGACCACACTGACTGTGATAATAACAGTTGTTATTACAGTTCGTGTTAGCTTTTTAGTTTTGCCTGCAAAAAGAGAATTAATGTGTGATTAAAGAGTAGTGGTGTTTGAATGTTGCAAACAATCTTTTGAGGAAATTTGAAAAAATAAAAAAAATAAATAAAGTATGCATGACCTAAGGATGCACAATATGTTTGTTTATTATTCATGATTGATATCTAATGTCATTTAACTTTATTTTACTATAATTAGTTACTTGACTTTTGAAAATTATACTCGTTTGTTTTTGTATGCTTTTCGTAAAAATCCAAATATTTTCAGAAAAATTTCAGTTTAGCTCTAACATTTTTTTTAAATAAAAAAACCCAAGAACTAAATGGGCGGCTCATGCCATGTCAACCTAGTTCAATAAACCTTACAAAATGTAATTCTCAAGAAAAGGTATGCCAGTATAGGTTCGAACATGAACCTCATCATCCAAACAAAAACAACTTGCTAGCTGGGCTACAGGATATGTTTAACCTTATTCTTCGATACTTATATATATTATTGATCTCTTTGCTTAAAGTTTTAACATGAAATAATTCTAAGGATGAAAATGGGAGGAAGAGACACAATCGAACAATAAAGCTTTAGCTATAAAACCAAGAAACTGACCAACTATGTAAAGAGTCTTTTGATGTTTATTCTACCTTACCAGCAGTATATATCCATTATAAACTAAAAGAATTAATTTCATTTTTTATTATTATTATTATTATTATTATTATTAAATATGAAAACGTAAACATATGTCTTTTATATGTGGTTTTTAAACTTTTTTTTCTTCATTTAGACTAATTTAAATACTTTTTAACGTGTATATATATATATATATATATATATATATATATATATATATTATGTGTATAATAACGTATTTAAAATGTTTTATACATATATTTATTTAATAATATCAATACTATCAAATTTTAAAAATAATATATTTATTGTGTTTTTTACGTATTTTATATGTATTTTTTACAATTAAAAACGTATATACATATAAAATATGTATTTTTACAAATAATTACATATATACATTTTTACTTGTACGAAATACGTGTATATATAATTCTAGTAAGGAAAAAGAAAACATTATACCATAATTTTTCAGTTTTTAATTGATATATATCTCTGGTAAGGAAAAGAAAAACACAAAAAGTTTTTCGGTACCATCGTGTTTTGAGTGATAGACATCCCGAATCCCATTCTCCTTGTTTTTCTACCTTAAATTTTTTTTTTCTTTGAACATTAAACAAATGAAATAAACAATATATATAATTGTGAAGGAAGAAAAGCAAATATGTCTTCTGGCCTAAATAGTAAGGCGTGTGTGTTGGAACGTGGGAGTGAGAAGTTCCCGGTTTGAAACTCCGCATCTTCGTTTCCCCTTGCAATTTTAATTATTTCTAAGTGTAATGCTGACTTGGCATGCCACATCAGCGACCCCCTTCAAGTTCCGCATGCCACATAAGTGGTTACCGGTTGATCATGTCAAAAAAGGTTAAATTGTAAGATTTAGTCGGTTTTTGGATTTTTTTTTATTCAAAAAACAATATTGGAATTGAAGTGAAACTTTTACGAAAATATTAGAATTTTTCTGAGAATTTCCTTATGTTTTTTTTTTATTATTTTTTTTTATAGTTGGTTTTTACCACTTCCTTTTTCATTTCATTTTATAACTTTTTTTAACATATTTTCATGATTGATATTTACGTTTTTATAAATTAATTTTTATGGAATTTTTCATGTTTTTTTTTCACATTCTATTTTTATAACTTCATTTTTTTACTTTGTTTTTCATGTTTTTTAAGTCCATTTTACAACTTTATTTTTTCTTCGTTTTTATATGTTATTCACAATCTATTTTTATAACTTCACATATTTACTTCATTTATACATGCTTTTTCACAACCTCTTTTACAAATTTATTTTTGTACATATTTCTAGCATGGATCTTTTACAATCTCTTTTATAACTTCAACTTTACAAGTACAAATCATGACATTGTAAAATATGCTGTAAAAAACATGTAAAAAAACAAAAATAAAAAAGCTACAAATAAGAATTGTGAAAAACAATATATAAAAACGAAATAAAAATGGATTTGCAAAAATAGATTGTACAAAAACATGTGAAAATGAAGTCAAAAAAATATGAAATTTTAAAAACGAACTGCAAAAGAAAAAACATATAAAACCGAATGAGCAAATTTTCAAAAGTTTAGTGACTTATTATACCTAAAAAAAGCTTAACGAACTTAGATAGTGAAAAAAAGATCTTCAGCGACCACATTGACAAAAATTAAAAAATTCAATGATCTTTTAAAACTTAAAACGAGTGATATAATGAACACAAAAATAAAAGTTAATTTACTAAATATTACATTAACCCTAATTAATATTTCCCCTAAATGTGATCTCTCTCCTTGCTACTAATGCATAGACGTTACATGGTACAATCGAGGTATAAAAGGGCAAGATACAATGACTTATCTCATCTCACTATCTAATCTCATCTCATCCCATCCGATCCCACTATACTAATAAAAGAGTAGTTCTTTTATCATGTATTACCATGTTAAGTCTTGTAATTAATATCATGCCACTTATCAATCTATTGATTCTCCATTTCAAAATTCAAATTTAAGAATTTAAAATTTTCATTTTAATTACATTAAATTAATAATATTAGAATAAAAAATGAAATACAATTTATACAAATTATAATAAAATAAAATTTATACAGATTATAAGATGATATAATTTTACATATTTATTTGAATCAACGATCATAATTTTATATATATAATTAAAAAATATCTCTTAATTAATAAGTTATTTAAAATAATTAATTAATAGTTTTGAGTTTTACTTAAAAAAAACTTAGAATTTTAATTAATTTTGTAATCATGATTCCTACAGGTTATGAACTAGCAGATGTAATATACATACACTAATACACTAATCGAATATGGCCACCTTGTCAAGAAGAAAGTGCATGTCAATCTCAATAGGATTTGTTAATTGATGTTTGACCGAGTTGGTGAATAGGAAGATGACATTCACACCATCACACTAACGATTTTAGATTTGGTTGGAGAAAAGCGAAGCACTCAAAGAAATTTTCCTAGCCAACATGTTCTATCAACACTATTAGCCACCCTTGATACTCAATTTGCAATGGATCCACATATAATACCTTATTGCTAGGATGACCATGAGAGATAATTGCTAGAAGGAAATACACAATAGCCATAAGAGGATCGATGAGTGGTGGGATATCCTTCGCAAGTAACATCATAATAAGAAATAAGACCACCACAGGGGCCATCAAGCTATAATCCATGCGTTTCAAGACACCGAAATGTGGATCCCCTTGGTCGTATATGAAAATACATATCTCTTGAAAAACATAAGAAAATTTGTACATGTAAAACTAAGGTATTGAAGATTGCTCGCAAGGCTACGATAAAGGGTTAGATCATCAACTTGGGCGTTCAAGCCATCAAGCTTGGCATGAGTATTGGCGAGGTGCATCATGCTTTGTAGTTAAGAACATGTTCTCGCTAGAGGATCTCTGTTGCATATTTTCCTGACTATGAAAAATATCGAACTTAGTCAATTTAATGAATATACCAGAATAGTAATTCAGCACCCCGAGATCTTTCATACAGAACTCCCTCCTAACGGAGGAGATAATATTATATAGAAAACGTCTAGGAGGATTCGATATAAGCAATATTTCATCGATATACAACAAGATATAAGCCACGACTTACCCTTAAGACATAAAAAGAGATAAATCTAAACACATAGGACCAAAGATGAGTAACAAACCAGGAAAAACTATGAAAGTAGACATAGGAGGTTTGTGTCGGGCCATAAAGGTATCAATGCATATGTCACACATGGTTAGGATATTAAGGATCTCAAAAAATGGGAGGCACCCTTCCTAAAGCTAACCATGGACAAACACATTTTTCACATCCAACTTATTAACAAGCTAATTATAAGACACCTCAAGGCTAAGAATGGTATCTATCGTTGCTTGTTTGACCACCAGACTATATATCTCATCACAATTGATCTCATAAGGTTTTATGTTAACGTTGCCACATGCTTTATAATGGGCCAAGGAGCCACTGGTATTATGTTTCTTCTTGAAAAAATAAATGGATCATATATTATGCACCCTACGGCATGATACACTTACTCTGGTGCTATTGTTAATAAGAAGCATTAAATTCATCATTCATTGCATGAACCTAATGAGGTTCTTGTAAAGCCTATAAATAAGAATGAGACATGATTTAGTAAATTCGGGTCTAATGGTAAAGGCATTGTAAGATTTTGGTTACAATGTATTTTGGATGGTTGGTCAATGGATAACTAGTTGTTAATGAGAGGGTGGTAGGCATACATTTGAAAATATGAAAGTGGACAGAATGGATGATGAGGACGTTGTTGTTGAGGTGGAATGAACGATGGTTTGGGTGATAATGATGTTGACATGGTGATAAACATGGTAGATACGGAAGATTGTGATGCCATGGCAGCATGAACAGATATGGGTGGTGTGGTATATGGTGTGGATATGGACTGAAAAAAAAAGGATTGGGGTAAAGGTGAAGGACTACAAAGGTAATCAATGAATTCATATGAAGGGTTTGATTAGATTAGAGGGAGTGGGTGCAACCTAGACCGCACTCTCCTTGTCGCATAAGCACAAATACTGCCACTGGGTGCGGTAAATAGTGCAATGCGGCCTTCCTAGGGAGCATTCATTCAAACAACGTGATTGTTTCCTTTTTCTTACATCCCTGTGATTGGTCGCTTTTATTTATTAAAAAAAAAATACCAAAGTGTGACACCACTCCTTGGGTGTTCTATGAAACCACACTTTTATGGTAACGAGTGAGGTGACGCCTACATGTCACC